CTTTTTTTTTTTTTTAAACTCGATTCTAAATCCGTGAGTCATTCTCTTTTGAAACGTAAGGGAGTATTTGACTTTCCAAGTTGATACTAAAAACTCCATAAGTTCTAGAAGCACGTGTGGAATGGTGGGCCCTCTAGTCTCTTTGCCATCAAGGAAAGTACACTTGCACAACCCCTATAAATAAAACCCAGCAGCAGAGGAGAAGAAAACAAACAATTCTCTTTCCCTCAAAATGAACCGCAAAACAAATATGAAACAAGTCGGAGAAGATGAATATTTGTGCCTCAGTTTCAACAATTTTGGACTTTTATCGGATATCGCTGCAAAAATCTCCGATGAATTTCAGGCGGAGGAGAAAGAAAGCTTGAACGGCGGCGAAGAAGATTTCGAATTCTCTTTAGTCTCTGAGAAACCGGATAACTCAATCGCGGAATTCATCTATGACGGTCAGAATAAATTCCAGCAGCCAATTTTCCCTCTTTTCAACCGCGATCTATTGCTAAGCGATTCGAATTTGAAGGATGTTGATAAATCAATTTTGATTCCGTTGAAGAAGTTGTTTCTAGAAAAAAGTGAATCATCGGAGGCAGAGGAATTGGAGACGATACCTGCCAGGACTTACTGTATGTGGAAGCCGAAGATAAGTGAGCCATCACCAGGAAAATGCAAGAAGAGTAAATCAACAGGATTTGTATCGAAGCGATGGCCGAGGATCCGAGATCTGTTACGGAGGAGTAATAGTGAAGGGAAGGAAGAGGACAGTTTTGTATTTCTCAAACCAAAAAAGACAATAGAAAACGAATCAGCAAAAACAAAAAATTCCAGTGAGGTGGTGAAGACGGCCGGAAAATTGAAGCAGACGAAAACTAGCACTAGCGGAGGAGAAAAGGTTTTACCGCCGGCAGTATATTATGTACGAAATAGAGCGGATAAAGAAGCTGATAAGAATAAGAGAAAATCATATTTACCTTATAGGAAAGAGCTTATAGGATTTTTTGCTATTGGTTTGAGTAGAAGTTATCGTCCATTCTAACAACATGCAAATGCTTTTAGCATAGATTGTTAGAGTTTTTTTTTTCCATTAAAAAGATTTTGACAACTCCTCTCTATCAAAATGTTGGATTATGAGATTCAGTTTTTTTAATTTTTTTTAAAACTATAATTTGGGATATGAAAATTTTAAGTATTCTGAAAATTATATTAATATATTTTTTTGAAAAATATTACTCTTTATGTCTCAATTTTTGTGACACATTTCGTTTTTCTAAGTCAATGACTGAGAATTTGCTCACAAAATCTTCAAATTTTTTAATTTATATATTTGTGAACTAGCCAGATGGGGGGAGGGATAAAACGCTCCATAACAAAGACGACTATGTACCCAAGGAGCCTTGAACCCGAAACCTCTTGGTTAAAGATGAAAGAATACTTATCAATCCACCACAATTTTTGTTAGTAAAACAAATGGAGTATAAGTTACTCTCTCCCCGTTGCTTTTTTACTTGTTACTTGCACTTGGGATGGCAATGGGGCGGGGCAGGATGGGTTTAAGGCTATGTAGGGCAGGATGGGTTTAAGGTTGTGCAGGACGGGTTGAAGTGGGCTTTTTTTAAAATTAATGCGGGGTGGATTGCAAGTATATATGATTTTATGGTAAAATTGGCATAGCATGACATGTTATAGTTAAAATTGGCAATAAATAGTACCCTTATAATCTTTTAGCAAAACAAAGATTTTTGAAAATCTATTTGGCATTTATTAGCCATATTTTCTTTTCCTCGAAAGGGTTTTTTTTTTCTTTCTAAAAAGTTATTTTATTCCCTAATTTTCTCCAAACTTTTCTCAAGACATATTTTTTCTTTCACCGATCCTTTATTTATTGAAAAGTAAAAATTTTATTCTTTCTTCTTCTCTTTTCTTATTTTAAACAATTCTTTGTTAATAATGATTCTTTCAACATTTTTCTTTTACCTTTTTTTTTTATCTTTTTACAATTCTTCATGCATGCATATACTCTGTATTTGCTTAAATTTTCTCTTCCATATTTACGTTCATCCAATGTATGATAATATACTAAATCGTTTCTTTTCATTGTTCTCGACTATATTTGCTCTATCATATATATATTGAATTTGTCATTGCCAACAACAACAACATACCCAGTGAAATCCCACAAAGTGGGGTCTGGGGAGGGTAAAGTGTACGCAAACCTTACCACTACCTCGTGGAGGTAGAGAGGCTGTTTCCGGAGGACCCTCGGCTCAAGTACATCCAAACCAAGTAAAAGAAGAGGAAACAGTATATAAAACATAACATCCAATAAGAAAAACAGTGCATAATCAACAACGGAGACAATAACATCAAGAAAATACTGTAAGAGGTGAAACGCAGTAAACAACATATGGCTATAGGATCACAAACAATAACTACAAGTGCCAGGCTAGGACTACTACAAACGCTACCAATCCAGACCCTCGCAAGGAAAGACAACACGCTAACCTTACTAACCTTCAACCTTAATACGCGACCTCCACTCCTTCCTATCTAGAGTCATGTCCTCGGTAATGTGAAGCTGAGCCAAGTCATGTCTAATCACCTCTCCCCAATACTTCTTAGGCCTACCTCTACCCCTCCGCGTACCCTCTACAACCAGCCCCTCACACCTCCTCACTGGGGCGTCTACGCACCGTCTGAATTTGTCATTGCCAAACTATATGAATTTTTTTTATTGTGGAATTGAAGATTTCAATTTAATTGGGGAAAATTGAGATTATAATGTGTTATTTTTTTTATATTTATTTTCATGGGTAAAAGGGATCTCATGAGTTTTTTTGGAAAAATAAATCTTAATTTTATATTTTTTTTTGGGTGGTATAAGTACAAAATAGTGTGTAACTTGAATGCAAAATCTGTTTATAGAATTTTATTTAGGGTAAATCACTTACCTGTATACTTTTTAAAAAATATTTACTATATTTGTCAACATTATTTTTTTAACCATATATGACAATTTGGCTGAATTAAATCAAATTCACTTCATCCTTTCCATCTTTCGCTCCCAATTTTCTCTCGCCGCTACGATTTTCTCTCGTTGGTGCGATTTTCTCTCGCCACTTCTTACTCACAATTTTCTTCACAAATACGGCTATACTACCTTCAGAGATGTGAATTCAGTGCAGTTTTGAGACGAATCAAGTCGAGCAGAGAGTTGAATTTGAAGTTTTTTGAAGTTTGAAGGGTTAATTAGAAGCTTTAAATTTGATTGCATGTCTTAGTTACTTGTTTAATTCATCCTTAATTCTGTATCTCGGCTATACTAACCTTCACCGATGAGTATTCAGTGATCAATTTCGAGATGAATCAAGTTCGGGCAGAGAGTTGAGTTTGAAATTTTTTGAAGTTTGAAAGGTTAGAAGGTTTAAATTCGATTGCATGTCATTAGTTACTTGCTTAATTCAAGATTAATTCTCTTTCTCGGCTATACTAACCTTCAACGATGTGTATTCAGTGATCAATTTCGAGATGAATTAAGTTCGGGCAGAGAGTTGAGTTTGAAATTTTTTGAAGTTTGAAAGGTTAGAAGGTTTAAATTCAACTTTAATACATTGTAATACACTTTTAATACAAGTTTAATTCATTTTTGCAGTTTGTTGGTTGATTTGTTATGATTTGATGACTTGTTTAAATTTTTTCTTAATTCACTCTTCTGATTGATTTTCTTGGTTAATTCATAATAGATTCAAGTTTAATTCAATCTATAGAACACTCTCTCGTCGTTTCCTTAGTTATTTGTTTCAATTTTTTTCTTAATTCACTCTTCTAATTCAACTTTAATACATTGTAATACACTTTTAATACAAGTTTAATTCATTTTTGCAGTTTGTTGGTTGATTTGTTATGATTTGATGACTTGTTTAAATTTTTTCTTCATTCACTCTTCTGATTGATTTTCTTGGTTAATTCATAATAGATTCAAGTTTAATTCAATCTATAGAACACTCTCTCGTCGTTTCCTTAGTTATTTGTTTCAATTTTTTTCTTCATTCACTCTTCTAATTCAACTTTAATACATTGTAATACACTTTTAATACAAGTTTAATTCATTTTTGCAGTTTGTTGGTTGATTTGTTATGATTTGACGACTTGTTTAAATTCTTTCTTCATTCACTCTTCTGATTGCTTTTCTTGGTTAATTCATAATAGATTCAAGTTTAATTCAATCTATAGAACACTCTCTCGTCGTTTCCTTAGTTATTTGTTTCAATTTTTTTCTTCATTCACTCTTCTAATTCAACTTTAATACATTGTAATACACTTTTAATACAAGTTTAATTCATTTTTGCAGTTTGTTGGTTGATTTGTTATGATTTGATGACTTGTTTAAATTCTTTCTTCATTCACTCTTCTGATTGCTTTTCTTGGTTAATTCATAATAGATTCAAGTTTAATTCAATCTATAGAACACTCTCTCGTCGTTTCCTTAGTTATTTGTTTAAATTCTTTCTTAAATCACTCTTCTAATTCAACTTTAATACAGTGTAATACACTTTTAATACAAGAACACTCCCCTGTCCTTCCCTTGTGCACACTATTCCTTTGCCATTTTGGTGTTTGTGCTTGCACTACAATTTGGATATCAACAGGCACTGGCAGGGGAGTTGTTGAGTCTGGCATCTCTAGTCATCTGTTCTATGTGGTATGAGTTTGGCTTCTGGCACTTTAACTGTTAACTTATCTTTTGTTTTCTTGCTGCTCATCTTTGTGGCTTCCATTTTCTTTTTGCTTATCACACCAGTTTGAGTTTTGTGTGTTGGAAGGATGTATATACTCCCTCATAGACTTTTATATAATAGTATTAATATCTCCCAGAAACATTGGCATTGTACATTTGCTGAACTGAACAATAATTGAATTAGATACAGTTGTAAAGGCTAACCTGAGAATTCCTTACATAAGCAATGAAAAATAGACTAATCTGCACACTTTTTAATAATGTGCAGAAAAAAAAAAATGACTAATCTGGCTGTGCTGCTTTACTTCAATGGACGATGGGATCCTAGCAACAAATATACTAATTACGTGGCAGATGGTGTGTTGATAAATACGAAATCAAACTTTGCCACCCTCGTTTCTATAATTGCTACTCAATTGTCAATAGACACATCAACAAGTAAAGTTGAAATCAGATATAAAATTGATGAAAGGTCTCCTCCAATTCAAATTCATAATGATATGGGGGTAAAAGTATATGTTGAAACCAAAAAGGAACATCGAGATATGGCAAAATACCCTTTGTGTGTCACAACAACTGAACCAGTCAACTTGGAGACTAATTCTACACTCATTCCACTATTATGTTCAGACACTTCAGAAGATATGAGGGTTATACACAATTCATACTTCTCTAATACATTTAATGGTATTGGTGAGGCAATAGGGTTAATTGGCTTTGGATCATGTGAGGAAGTTGATGAGCTAGAAGAATTAGCACCAGGCATCATTGTTAATCCCAATCACTCTTTATTTGAGAAAGATCAAGTGTATAAGAATAAATATGTCCTCACCAGTGCACTAAAAAGACATTCCATTCTTAAGCATTTTCAATTCAAGACAACAAGATCAAGCTCAATCAGGTAAGACCTAAATTCAAGTCACTTTAAATTATTGATTGTATATTAATTTTTTTCAACAGCTATTCGATACAGTGCTTAGGTGAAAACTGTAGTTGGAGTTTACGAGCTTCAAGCTTGAACAAATCTCAAATGTTCAAGATTAGAGAATTTGAAAGTGAACACACATGTTTGTTGCTACATAATTCATTATCGGAAAGGCAAGCAACTAAGAGTGTTGTTGGGAGTATTATTGTCAGTAAATGTGCTGAACCAGATGTTATTTACACACCAAAAGATATACAACGTGACATGTTAGCTGAATATGGTGTGCGACTCACATATATGCAAGCATGGAGAGCTAAAGAAGCAGCTCTTGAATTAGTCCGGGGTGATCCAATTCAATCATATGCAAAGTTGCCAAGCTACTTTCACATACTAGAGGCAACTTACCTTGGTTCCCATATAAGATTGCACAAATCAGAGGATGACCGTTTTCTATATGCGTTTGTAGCTTTGTTCACCTCGATAAAAGGATGGGAATATTGTAGACCAATTGTAGTTGTTGATGGAACTTTCTTAAAAGGAGCATACAAAGGGACACTACTAACCGCTAATACCTTAGATGCAGCAGGTGAGACTTTCGAATATGATACTAGTATTTTCTATATTGAATTTCTGAACTATGAATTAAAAATGAATTATAATTGCAGTAAAAATGTATTAAAATTGTATTAAACAAATTGTACATGGTGCAGGGAGTATACTGCCACTTGCTTATGCCATTGTTGATTCAGAGAATGATGCATCTTGGAGGTGGTTTTTTGAGCAATTCAGAGACGCATTCGGTCAAAGATTAGAGATGTGTATCGTTTCCGATAGGCATGCAAGCATTATTAAGGCAGCTTCGAGAGTCTATGATGAAGTACCTCATTTTGCGTGTATGTGGCACTTACTGCAAAACATAATGAAAAACTTCAGAAAAAGTCAGCAAAGGGTAACTGAGTTGTTCTACTCTATGGCAAAAACATACACCATGACACAATTTAATCAATGTATGACAATAGTTGAGAAAATAGATAAGAGGATCAAAGATTACTTGCTGAACATTGGATACAACAAATGGTCGCGTGTGCATGCTGAAGTAAACAGAACTTGGATGATGACGTCAAATATAGCAGAATCAGTCAATTCAAGAACAAGACATGCCAAAGTTCTTACAGTCTTACACCTCTTGGAATTCATGAGACAGCTTGTCCAGAAATGGAATAACAATAACAGATCAAAGGCGACATTTTCAGGTTTTCACCTTGGGAAAAAGTATGAAAATATATTGCGGCGCAATAAAACTGCATCAGAGAAATTAAGGGTATGCTTGATCTGTAAATTATTTTTGCTAATATTTTTTCTTCTGATTCATATCTAACATCTCTCTTGATTATATTTTTTTCTTTTCATAGGTTATAGAGACAAATAAATATGTGTATACGGTACTTGATGGTATTACACAATTCACAGTTTGTCTTCACCAACGTACATGCACATGTGGGAGATTTCAATTGGATGAGTTGCCATGTCCACATGCTTTGGCTGTTTTAACAATAAAGCACACTGGTTATGAGAAATATTGCTCTGATTACTATACAAGAAAAAAATTATTGCTGACATATCAGTTTCAAATGAATCCCCTGCCAGATGAAAGCACATGGAACACACCAACACATGTTCTTGAAGAGGTTGTACTTCCACCTCATGGAAAGAGACCTCCGGGAAGACCAAAAAATAAAAGACATACACAACTCAGAGAAGATGGATTCAAGAAGGCGAAAATTACATGCAGCAACTGTGGACAACAAGATCACAACAGGAAGACTTGCAAAAATGTTAGGCCTTATGATCAAGAATAAGAAATAAAATTTGTTTTACCATGATTTTCTTGGTTAATTCATAATAGATTCAAGTTTAATTCAATCTATAGAACACTTTCTCGTCGTTTCCTTAGTTATTTGTTTCAATTTTTTTCTTCATTCACTCTTCTAATTCAAGTTTAATACATTGTAATACACTTTTAATACAAGTTTAATTCATTTTTGCAGTTTGTTGGTTGATTTGTTATGATTTGACGACTTGTTTAAATTCTTTCTTAATTCACTTTCTTGGTTAATTCATAATAGATTCAAGTTTAATTCAATCTATAAAACACTCTCTCGTCGTTTCCTTAGTTATTTGTTTCAATTTTTTTCTTAATTCAACTTTAATACATTGTAATACACCTTAACTATTGTTTACCTCAATGCTTAGTTTCCTTATTGCTGTTGAATCTCTGTTGAAACACCCAAATACGAATTGGTACAATCTACACCTAATTACGAGATCCGCAAATACCCAAATACGAAAAAAAGAAACATCTTTCGTGCAAGCAAGTACCATTGCATGCCAGCACATATTTGTTCAATAAAAGCTAAGCAATCAGAAAGTGAAGAATAGACCAATATAGTTTTTCATAGCCATACTAACTACAAACTGTTTTTACACCATATAGTTTTCACAGTCATACTAACTAATATAACTATATTTCTTTATCTTTCCGGTCTTTCGTCTTCACTTTGAAGGTCACTCGCTTGCTTCCTTCTTGCATATTCCCATAATATAGCTCCAAATCTCTTTCGGAGAATGTCTGCCTTTACTTGTTGATTTAGAATATGTTGGCCATTACTTACAAACTCCGCAAATGCAGCAACGAAAACTCCACAGTCCCTAAAAAATTCAATATAAAATTATTATCAAAATATCTACTTAATACAAAAAAGAATACCTATTTGATAATACTTACAGCGAGTCATCTTGTTGTCTGGGAACACCTTTAGTTATGAAGTGAAACTCAATTTTCTCGAACTCATCTATCCCACTGTATTTCGGTGTTGCCTTCAATTCAGGACGCTTATCATAGAACTTGACCACACTCAGGTAATATGGTAAAACAATTGAAAGCATCTCAACAATATTTTTAACCTCAAATTTCACCCCACCCCTTGCCGGAAATGAATCATATACCTCCAAAGACCTTTGCACAATATCAAACACGACAAGAATCCAATGACAACCCTCTTTAATGTTTAGTGGAAAAAGAATATAATCCACTTTATCCCACGAAGTGCTTGCCAACAAACGATATCCACATATATACCGGGCAATATCATCAGAATCTTTTACTTTATAGTTCTTCTTATTCTCATGAGCATCACAAAGTTGAAAGAAAGAAGTAGTAATTTTCGTCTTGAACACACAATCAGTAGTCGTAAATCGAACATTACTGTTGACTTCATATTTTCCTTTCTTTCTTAGATAATAGAAAATGACATCAATATGCTGCAAAAAATTAGAATTGAACTGTAAAAAAGAAATAGTCTCAAGAAACAAACATTCAATTAACCTCAAGAAACTCAGTAAGTGATATTGCAACACACAAGATTCACAAAATTCTCACAAGATTCAATTAGTCTCCAAGAAGTTGTCAGTTAGTAAGTGTCAACCACTTATATATAAAATGTTGGGAAAGATAAACACGTGGATAGTAAGACGTTATCTTACACAAGGAGACTACAATTGGTGTAATGTGTTCTAACCTCTATCCAAGCATTCTGGTCACAAATATAATACAGAATCTGAAACACATCAGCACCTATTCAGTCTAATGTGATTTGGCATAAATTATTGAACTAGCTATCCATCAATAGGAACAGCTAGCACATGATACACTGAATAGCTTGAGTGGGCTACAATGCATGCGACAAGTAAAGCAATAGAAACTTAAGTGTATAAAATGACACAAGCAGTAGCAATAATCTACTTCATATGGCAGGAGAGAAATTATAGAATTTTTCAACCCAAAGAACACAAAGGTGCTCACTAGACAAATCATTCAGGAAATTCAACAGCAGAGGTAGTATGACTCCTAGAATGGCAAGCGTTATGAATAACAAATATTGACGTCCAATTAAACTTTATACAACTAACCTCATCACACCATTCTTGTCCAGAATGTGCCAATTTGAAAAACCAGTGTCTTTCTGCTACATTACAAATACCTAATTCAAATGCTGGACTGATAACATTAAGAGCATCTGTATAAGGTTTCTTTCCCCTATCAAAACATAAAAAAATTACAACATAAATACTCAGAAACGGGACAGCAACAAATAAAAAAGAGGTAACTAAGGAAACTAAAGAAGAGTGAATTAAGAAACTTGTATTATTGTGAATTAGAGGTAACGAGAGAGTTCTATAGATTGAATTAAACTTGTATCTATTATGAATTATGTAAGTTATTCAACAGTAACAAATTAACCAGCAAACTTCAAAATGAATTACCTCTTCTTTTACCCATATAAAGCCACTTAATGAATGAATCGATCAAATCTGATTCATTATCTCCTCCAGTTGCATATGAAAAAGGATGTTTTGTCTCAAAAAACTGACGTGTTACACATAAAGTTCCTCCAGATTCGAAATGTTGTGTGTAGGGAGATGTTATTAACTTTCCTGGATTTTTCTTTCTGCCACTTTCTTCGGTGTCACTTTCTTTTTGTTTTGATCAACAGGGGCTCTTTTCTTTAGATAAGATTCTTCGGTCTTATTGATCTGAGAAAGATCTTCATCAAGAAAAATAAAATCATCAAGAGTATGCAAAGGTTTTTGACAATCCTCTGTTGCATCTGCATACAATAGACATATTGATTAATTTACAGTCAACAGATGCAACACTTATTTATGTTGGCTTTGTTGACTACATTACCATAAGGTTGCGCCCCAACTGTATTCACATCAGCAACCTCTTGGACTGTAAGCAAAGTAAATATTTTAATAACGTTATTAAAATAAAATGAAAAGAAGTTTATTTGAAGTGAAGAAAATTAATACCATTTATATCAGCAACAACCTCTGACAAAACTTTTTCAATAGCAATTCCTGCAACATCTTCCTCTGTACATAACAAAAATATTTAAAATAAGATAGTTGAATTAACATATATGAAATATGTAATATATTTGTATAAAACCCTTCATTACCTATTTTACTTGATACTCTTTCAAAATTTTCAACGTCAGCAAATCTAACTGAAGCTTTAAGCACTTGAGATTCTTCATTCTGATTTGATCTCATAACATGAGCATCGTGACCTCTTGATTCATTTACAGATGCATTAACATAGGGAGAGAATGATGTATATGTAATTAACACATATTATAAGAAACACATATTAAAAGTATATTATGACTATAACAGAAATGTATTGAAAATATAAAGAAACCTCCATTGAAATCTAATCCACCCGAAAACGTCTCGCCAGCCTGCTTCTTAGATGGTTCCCTGACTTCTCTGATAACAGAGCTGCTGCCACCATTCTTAGCAAACAACAAAGAAATATCCTCCAATAATTGTTTGTTAGAATTCACCACAAATTCTTTGATTTCATTAAATCCTAAATCAATCTTCTCTTCAAGTGCTTTGTTATTTTCATTCACCTAGTAGATATTAAACCATAACACAAAAATTAAAAATATAAAAGTTCTGGAAAAAAAAAGCCTAAAGTCAAGTTTGTATATACCTTTACAAGTTCTTTTCTCAATTCAATAACTTCATTGGTCAACATGTCTAGACCATGACTTGATCCTTTAGGCTCCAATTTCAAAATTTCAGCATTGTAATCACGAGGTTCTGGAAGCCTGCATTTAGATACTTCATCTTCACTAGCCACTATGTTCTCAAACTGAAAAACCAAATAAACAAAATAAAAATAGATATAGTAACTTGAGTAGAATTAAACAATGTCATAAAATGTATTAACTTTGTACAAATACCTTATTTTTTGTAGGCATGAAGAGACATTTCTCAATATATTTTTGCCATGGACTTTCGGCAATTGTCTTCCAATTCAAGATTCTTGGATTGAGTTAGCAACCCGAATGGCTATATCTTCATCAACTTTTGAACAACACTCAAAAATCCAAATTTGAAGAGCAAGAGGCAAGCCACCCAATCTATAGTATTTATGGGTTGACTTAAGCTCATGTCTCACAGAATCAGACAACTTTTTGTAGACATCTAAACCCCATGGATATGAATTGAATTGTCCACTTTCCACAAGGTAAAAATCTCTATTAGTAATTTGGTATTCGTTGTCCTCATATGAAAATAAAAAATCATTAATGAAGAAGAGAACAGCCAATGAAACAGCTGAGTCATCATCTAGGAATTTTTTAGCTAGAAACAACGCACGTAGATGACTCTTTGCAACAGTGATTTTTTTCGGAAAATAACTACTCAACAAACTACATTTAGAATCAGGAACAGTGATAGGAGAGCCATCACTAACACAATTTAAGCCGGTAACTATTCCAAATTCTCTAAGACCAAAAAACAACTTTTTGTTATTTATTTCAATAGCAAACACATCATCCGGTGTGTGTTTTAACTCTCTATTTATAAGGCAATGAATAACTTGTAGTTGTGTGCTCGCTTTTGGAAGGTCAAGAAAGTAACCAAAACATGTATTCCTGAACAACTCAAGTTGTTTATCAGATAAAGATAGTTTGATTTGGTCGATGACACTATGATTAGTGTAAGATGACCACCTACTCGAAATATACACAACATCCGGATGTTTCCAGAATTTACGATCCTGCATATGTACTAAACATGAATTTAAAATGTGTTACTACATACTAAAGTTGAATTAAAGATGAATTTCACATACTATGTATCAAAGCAAGGTAGTAATCAGTTGAATTAAAGATGAATTACACCGATGACCACTTCTGGTTCCAAAATCCAAACCCAGAACTTATCAACTTCAACACAAGCATCCTAAACAATGATCTAGTTGTCATACACTTAAAGCTCTATT